AAAAAAATAAAAGACTGAGGATTTATCTTATTTTGGGTTGTAATGAGAAATTTAATCATTTTTAGTATCCAATGCTTAATTTTTACATTATTTTGCCCGATTATATTTCAAATATGCTTTGCCATGTTGTATGTCTTCAGTTTGGCTTTCAGTAAGTCGTAATTTAATGAGAACTTATTAGTCCCCTATATGCGCAATTTGACATCAATATAATTTATTGCATATTCTCAACTCGTTTATGTATTGCTTTCATAATCATCCATTCATTTTAAGCATGCCATGAATTGCAAGGAAGCCCGTATTTTGTGCAATACGACAATTGGAATGGTGAAGCTCGTAAAAATGATCGATCTGCCTGGAACACGGGAGATGATTGAATCAACAGGTGCTGAGCTGGAATCAATAGACGGGGTTACCTCAGTCCATTCTCTGTTCTATAGAATGAGCTCAAGGTATTATCAGGTTTGTATTATAGTTTATTTTGTTTAATTGAGTTGGCGAACTTATTCCTTACGTACTTTCTGTACATTCCTTGTAATAATGTTTTGTATATTTCAGATTATCGGAAATCACGCTGAGTACTACAGGGAAGCACTTCGCTTTCTAGGTTGCACAGATGCCTCCGAGCTTGATGATGCCGAGAAGCTTCAATGGGCTATTACCACTACTCTTGCTGCCTTATTAGGAGAGGGAGTCTATAATTTTGGCGAGTTAGTAAGTCGTGATGCTCTAATTAAATGCCTATATCTACTAAATTGCCTTAATTAATCTATAGTATGAAATAATGTTTGTTCTCTTGACTTGCATCTCTATTTAAAATTCCTGAAAATCTGCATAATTTAATTTTATGTGAGTCTGTCATCCGGCAAATGCGGCATTGATGAGCGTGACTGCTTAAATTCCTTTTAAGATCTGATCGAAATTTAGTCACTAGGCCACTTAATTCGAGTTAAGGTCTGGTATTGGAATTTTACCTCAATAAATTGAATATGCCCCACGCTTTCAATGAATTTAACATTTCTTTCCCTCTTCTAGACCTGGTGTTACTAATTTCTTATTCAGGAGTATCTGATAGTGTCGAAGCGTACTCCCCGAATATACCTGATATCAGTTTTATCGGCGAATCCATGTTTTTACGGTGTTGGATGATAACCTTGAATTTTTGAGTGCTGAGTTTTTTCTTACAGACGTAAGCTCAGCATGTATGTATAGGGGCTGTGAGCCGAGGTCATATTTACACAATCAACAGCCAATCTCACGCCTTTCTAATAGGATAGCCTACGAATCATTTCCTCATCCTTAAACGAAATTAAAGGTATGTCAATGTCTACTTCTTAAAGGATTCTTCAAAAATCAGCTTCCTTTTATTTACATGTTTGCCTTACCGAAAAGCGCGTAATTGGCATGAGATAGAAGCTTGACTTGCCTCATGACTAAATGGCTAGATAGCTTTGTAGGAAAGCGCTACTATTATTGACACAACCCGGTTATGAATCCCATTAAGGATGTTGAGATCAAGGCGGTGTCGAAACTGCAGTCAATTATGGGTAGAAACCTTTGAAGAAGTAAGGCTTAGCAAAATTACCATGAGTGATCTAGATTGACTCAGTTCCTATTTCAGGTGATACGACTACATAGGCGGAA